TCTATTTCCACGCGTTAGATCAATCGGCCGAGTTTGGTTATTATCAAAGGTGAACACTTCGTCTTTTGCAAACAGCTGGTAAAATTCCGAGACAGTTGAAATGTTTAAGTGATTCGAGCGACACTTGGAATAAATACAGATCTAGTGCCGAATGATCTAGGTCTTTCTGCCCCGGAGAATTATGCACGATTGAACCAGCTTGCTGTTGCACAATAACGTAATCTAGCAAATGAAATTTTCAAATCACCAGTCACTTGACCATCCTACGGAAGGAAAACTGTGAAATATCCTTGAAAGAGAAATTTGTAGAAAATTGCTTGCGTTTAAATTAACAAACAATTGCTCTCTCTCTCTCTCTCTCTCTCTCTCTCGAAGAAAGAGAACGCGTTAACCCCTCATAAATAAAATCTTTGTCAAAAAAGAAAAAAGAAAGACACCGCGTCACAATCTTCTCGCAAAATTATCGCCTTGTAAATTTTCCGCCAACGCCTTGAAACACCCGAAAAACAGCGTGCTGCTGCAAGGCTAATTAATATCACGTGATGAGCGATCGCGGCAAAACCTCGCAGCCGAGATCGCGGGGTGGAGGAACGCGTACGTCGAGGAGTGTACACGGAGGTTTAACCCTCCGTGGATCGCGATGACTCGATCGTTTCTGATCTGTGCTTTTTGCGTGCCTTTTTTTCTTTTCTTTTTTCTTGGAAGTGGATATAGTTTTATTGGAATGAAACTCGAAAGACGAGGAATTGCAGTGCGTGACGAGTTAGTGGGTGTTTATTGGAAGTTTATGGGAAATTTGTTTTACGGAGATATGTGAATGAAATTGAAAAAAATTATAGCGAGAGGTAGTGACAAATGTTACAAAACTTGTACGTTGTAGAGGCATTTGGTGCACTCTTTTTCACATTTTTTTTTTTTTTTTTTTTTTGAAAGAGTTTATGTCTGTTTTTCGAATATGAAATTCATAGATGCTTCAAGTTTTTGGAAAATAATGTACATCTATGTGAAGAATATATGTAACATAGAATCGGAAAATATTAACCATTTACTGCGTGGAATATCAACTATTTGAAACTCGAATAAACAATGTAATTGTCAATAGAATAGATACTTCTTTTAATCTCTTCATAAAAAAAAAAAACACATAACGCAAGACCAGCTGTGTGAACATGTACATCATCCAATCCAACCATTCATTACCAGTGTCCAATTATCAAAATTGTGTTCTCTCCTTTCTCTCGTTTCATTGAAAGCTCCCCAATCTACAAGCCTACAAAGAGCATAGAGGAGATATTGTGGTGCTCGCGCAGAAAACTTGGTCGCGTCTCTGGCGTCTCTCGGTTTCGATAATTCGCGAATTCATACGCGATGGCCGTGGTGCGGCGAGCCACCATCAATATGCTTGTGTGTACATACGTTGCGTTGGCGATGGCGTTCGATCGAGGCGAGAGAAACGCGCGAGAAACACGGAGCTGGCCGGGCGCAGATAACGAAACGCGCGAAAGGAGGCGAGGAAGGAGGCGGCGGGCGCTGCTTCTCTGCCTTCTGCGAGGAGCAACAAAACCGCGGGCTCGGATATAGAGGACACATTGTGCGCGCGCGGGACCAGAGAGAGAGAGAGGAAAAGAGAACGCGCGTCGCGTCGCGTCGCGTCGCGGCGAATCGACACTGCTCGCCTCGCACCATCTCGTCAACTCGCTTGCTCGCTTGCTCGCTTGCTCGCTGCCCCTTGCGAGCGTTTGCGCGTCCGTCCGTTCGTTACCGACGCGATACCATCGTCTCTTTTTCTTTCGAAGCGCGTTCTGCTCGAAGCTGCGGCGTGCCAGCGCGCCTTTTTTTCCCACCTCGCCTTCCTCCACGCCCTCCGCTTCCTCTTCGTCGTCGACGCTCGCGAGTACGCTCGCGCTCGATACTCGCTCCATTCTCCACATTCGCCGAGTCGTTCTCCTTTTTCTTCCTTGATGTTCACTTGTGAAAAATTGAGAAAAACCGCTGACTAAGAGATCTCACGCGGCGTGGATTTGGAAGACCGGACGTGAAATATGTATATGTTAATTGGCATCGAGTTCTATTCGTGTCTGAAAAAATAGGGATTTTCTTAACTTTTTTTCTAGTCTTTTTTAACTCCAATTTATCGCTGCTTAAAATTTATGATCATTTGTATCACTACCTGAAGTACGTGTATTATCCAATTTTTTTGTTTGGAAAAATTCTAATAACATACCGAGATAATAAGATTCAGAAGCCTGGCAAAAGTGGGATGAATCGATCGATGCAATCTTCGACAGATTTATGCGAAACAAGCAGCCAGCATATTATTATTCTATTAAGGAAAGAGTATTTTTCCCACTTACATACGTGTCTCTCGATACGCGATAAATTTGAACGCGTGTTAAACGTCCGACAGCCGCGAGAATGGTTAAACCCAATCTCCTCCTTTTGGCTCCGATAAAGGATATTAAAAGATATTAAAAGATAGATTCTAAACGAACCAGCCTTCTGATAAGAAGAAACTTAGAGCGCGACGTGGCGATATTCTAATAACGGTTTACTCCTTATGCTGGAACACGCATCAATTAACCCTTCATTCCCAATTACGGGGCCCGGTAATTGCAAGTAACGATCACCGCGCGACGATCATCGATTTTCCCTCTTCTCTTCTCGAGAACGTATGGGGTAGAAGGAGACGAGAGACGGCGAACGCGAACAGGACACTTAGATCGGCGCATTTAATTACGCCGAAGCCGATCCGCTCGACCGTGATCCACGCTTTTGCGCGCCGTTTTAGCAAACTGGGTCCTCTCTCTTTCTCTCTCTCTCTCTCGATTTTACAACCGCGACGGTGAACACTGGGTTGGTGTTCAGCCCGATATATTTACGGGACTCGTAACCGCGGCCACTTTTCACTTCGTTATCCGGCTGTCGGCGTCCAATCGAAGATTCTTTATTACTCAACGAATCGGCGTTATCGCGTGGAGAGGCGTGTCGACGACGTCCTTTCATTGTAGCCTCTCCTCCTTTATTATCTGGCAGAAAAGGCTTCGATACGGCGCTTTCGTCACGGAAGTTAATAAACTTGATGGCGAATTCCTTCGTGCCTCGTGCCAAATTTTCGCACGACGTTCGCTCTCTCTTTCGCTTTGCAATCTCTTCCTCCTGGCGAAACTTGCAGAATTTGCTTCGTCGTTCTTCGTATGTTGCGGAGAGAAAATTTGTGCTAAAGTAGTCCGAGTTCAAGAAAATTGAGTATTTAGTAGATCGTCTTTTAATTGACCGACTAGGACCCATTCTACTGCGTTACTCTCTCTCTCTCTGTCAAATCTACTTTGCACGCTGTTTTTGAAATAATCAGACGTTCTTTCTTTTTTTGTGACATATTTTTTTTCCTCTATATATCACTCTCTTTTTTTTTGTCACACATCACCATCTATATCAGTAATTTTCTCTCTTCCACTGATTCGATCGATATATAACAGAATCATTCGTCGATTTTACAAACCTCTGAATTGCTTTTGCGAAACATCTGTCATCAATCTTCCAGCAAGAAATTTGCACTCCTTGAAACTAAACCTCTTCTTCAAATTGCCTTCGTTTCAACAACCTTCGATCCACAACTCGTTTCTCTTCACCTACGACCGCGAGGAGTCTCGACGAGGTCGACCACCTCCGCTCCATTAGAAGCTAATTGCGGATTGTTGGTATCGCGAGGACTCTCGGCATCGAGGGGGGGACACACACGTGCGTTCGTTCAGTCGATCTCGAGGAGATGGGTGGATGCTTGGCGAAGGCGAGAGGGAAGAAGGTGGAGACGAACACAAAGACGAAGATGAAAAAGAAGAAGAAGAAGAAGAAGAAGAAGAAGAAGAAGAAGAAGGTGGAGGAAGAAGGTTAACTCTCGAGGCAGTCACTATCTGAGGGAGCACTCATCGCGGTCGCTTCGTTATCGGCCGCGCGGAATCATAATGGACCATAATTGCATAAATATAATGTTAATTAACAATTAAGATTGCCGCTTTGCCTAATTGAATCGCCGCTGCTGCTAGCGAGTGAGGGAGAGGCCGTTTCCTCGCTCGGTCGGTCGGTCGAGTGGTCGAGAGAGCGAGAGAGAACAAGAGAGAACAAGAGAGTGGAGGGAACGTGGATCGAAGAGGGTTCCGGAGGTGGCTTTAAACCTAACGCCGTATCGGAAAATTATGCCGATGGCTGTAATGTCCGAGTGTGCACACACGTTCGATGCCTGCCGTTTCCCCCCCGGGCGGAGGAACGTGACCGTGTGTCGTCGTCGCTTTAGAAAAACGGGTATTTATACATACACGGTGGGATGCCAGGATTCGGAGAAATGAAGAAGCGCGGGGAGTGGACGGAGAAACTGCTCGCGGACACGATATCGAAGGCACGACGATCGCGCGTCGGGGCACCGCGAAATCGTGTCTTCCAGGGAGGGAGAGGGGGGGGGGGAGGAATTACGAGATATCCGTTCTTTTTACCAATTATCCAGAATTCGAGGACGATAAAGAAAAGAGGCAAGAGGAAGAAAGTGGACGATGTTTCTAGCGTTTCTTCGCGTCGGCGAAGTTCTACCTACTCCGCTCCCACGAAAAGTTTCTACCTCGTTACGCGATATCGACGGACACGGTCGTTGAACCGGTACCCATCTACGCCCGATACGTATCGATCGATTGGACGGAGCACATGGAATTTCGGGGACGCAATTAGCGGCGTGCAGATGCAATAATAATTAATTCCCGTGTAATCCTCGCGGAGTGAATCGACCGATAGTCCGCGGAGCTTTCCCTGCTCCGGAGGGAAATAAATGGAAGCACCGGCGATACGCTCAAACTCTGAAATCCTTGGACCGCGAATTGTTCTGTGACGATCCACAGATCGACGTCTTCGTGTATTTCTCCTTCCTCTTCTGCTTGATCCTCCTCCCCCTTTTGCTCCTTTCTGTCCATCCGGCGAACGAATTTTATCAAGTTTCTTTTATTTTCTTGTTTCAGATGGTACAGGCGATCCAGGTCCTCCGGTTTCACCTCCTCGAGCTCGAAAAGGTGAGTACCTTCGCATTCTCTTTCCGTTCCCGACGATTGTACAAAGTACAAGAAAATTTCTTCAGTTGAACACATGCATCGTGAAATTTGCTTCGTATGCTACACTTGTTATTGAGTGAAAATGATCGACTCGTAATTCTTTATGGAAACTTTTTATATTTCTGAATTTTTAGAGATTTGATTTTTATTTAGTTAGATTGATTTTATTTAGTTAGAAACTTTCTCTTACTTCATAAAAAAGAAAAAAAAAGAAAGAAAATGACCAACTTGTAACTCTCCACAGAAATTTTCTTTATTTCCAAATTTTTAGAGATTTGATTCCTTTGCATTCTTTCTCTCATCTCGTGTACGTTAATTTCTTTGGCAGTAGTTCTAGCGTTTAAATACAAGTAGAATACGCTTCTAGTTTCGTCAATAGAAGAACCAAAGACAAGGGTGAAACAAACGTGAAACAAACGCGAGGTTCGCGCGTTTAGGCGAACGTCAGCGATCGGCGTGTTCTCCCGCGCGCTCCAATTGTCGGGGATTACCGGGTGTCGCGGCAGATAAGCCGTCCGTAACGCTTGAAAAACAACTGTTACTGGCGGGGCGCAATTTTCCGTAATTGTAGTGAAAGCTCGGCACCACCCGTCGTCGGTCCTCGGTCGTCGGTCGTACAACAATGACGTACACCTTGCCGGTATAACCCGGTTCGGGCCGAGTTTCAGTCACAAGTGGCGTCATTTAGCTGTCCAACGGCCGCTAGACGTAGTACGAACACGGTGTGCTCGCTGCAAGTTGCTTGCATTGGAACATCGGCCATCTTTCTCTCTCTCTGATAAACTAGAAACTCGTAAATCGGAGTACACGCGTCAACTATTTAAATCGTATGAAATGGTACAAAGGAGATCTCGAGAACGAGATCAATTCATTATAACATTTCATTTGCGATTCTTTCAATCTGCATCGAGTACCATTTTTTGGTACTAAAAGTCTCTGATAGAATATTTCTTCATCTTTTCCTTAGATTCTATAATTTTCATGACGTTTGTGGAAACGAAAGGATTTATAGTTATATTGGTTTCTAGTGGAAAATAGAACTCGACCGTCTTGAGTGATTAATTCGTTAATCACGTTGTGCGTTTCCGAAAGAACTGCACTCGACGAAAAGACTATCATAAAATAAATCTACAATATTACCATCTACGTCGAACGAGTTGGTTTATTTGGAGGTTAATCGTTCATAAATCCTCAACAATTCACGTCATTTGTAGGCCTCTCGGTAAAAGCGATCGTACGCATTACGACCATGGATTCTATCTGGATGAACTTTCGATTTCCCGCGGAATTCTAATTAAGACAGGGGGCCCCGGAGCGTACCGGGGCTACGATCGGTCCCAACGGACGTCGAAAAAGTCGCAGGTTGGTTCGTGTCGCGGTTCAATCGACGACATGAGGAGGAACAGCGGTCGGGATTAATTGAACCGGCCGGCCGGTTAATATTCCGCGCGCGTTCTCGCGTTGTTACTCCGGGGCCACGGTAAATAAATATTGCATTAGAAGGCCGGCGTGTTTTGGCCCGTTTTTCCTTCGCTAACGATTGATAACCGTTCGACTGGTAAAGCCGCTGTGTGTGTGTGTGTGTGTGCAACGTGAGAGAGGGAGAGAAAGATAGAGGAAGAAAGAAAAGAAAAGAGTGTGCAAGTTTTCAGGAGGAGCTGTTTGCGTGGCCGCAGAATACTCGGGGCGGGACCCGGTTCGGCCTGGCTACGGCCGTTTTTGCGCCGATATTTTATCATACGAAATAGCGGACATCCATCGCATTTCCATCGAAATGGCAGCTGACGTGGCGGCAGCCATTGCCCGGCCAAGGGAGACCAAGCCACGTCTCGATGCGCCCCTCGTGTGTGTTGTTGCTCCCTCTCGACAGGCCCGCCTGGATCGACCGGCCGATCCTGCAATTTTATACCAATTTTCCTCATTTGCCGCGATTACATTATTATAAAGGTCCGGGGCTACCTACCGGGCGAATCCACGTAGCGAACCACGGCTGGCCAACCCTTCTTCCTCTTTCTCCCCCCGAGCATCCTATACGTAGACTAGTACATACGTACATTTTATATCGTGCGTACGATTATTCGTACCAGGACTCGTACGTTACGTGCAAGATCGTAATCTCCGTCGTCCGCTCAACAAGCGTTCGCGAAGAAGATGATACGTTACGGGATAACGTCGTTTGATAAATCGACGTCAAACCCGAGTGCAAAGTTAGATCCAAACTCGGGTTGTAAACGTTTCCATATCTTTCCATTCTTCGGTACGTGCTCGAAGAACGAGATTTAAAATTCGCACGAGTGAAATTTTCATCCAGTTTCGTGAATCTTTTTCACCGTCGACGGGGGATGATTTCATCGAGTCGTCGAGATATCATTCGCGTGTGATTCTTCCACTGCGAACAACGAACGTACAGCGGTTGATCGAGATTGCAAGAAATCGACGGTGCACTCGTCCTCCTATGGAAGACCGCGGAGATAAGAAACTGTCTCACCGGGATCAAGACGCCAAACCGATATTCCATGCCGATCGGTAGTAGCTTTTTCCTCCCACGAGTGCGGGGCCGCCGCGATTCCAATACGCCAGCCGGTCGGATTTATTTCAGCGAGATCGTTGCTCGCGATATCGGGGCGGGTCTTCGAAAAGCCGCGACAAAACCTGGCCGCAATTTGGCACGGTGTGCGCCGCACTGGCATCGACGGTAATGAAGATTGAAACGTTCCTCGGTCCCCGGGGTCCTCCAGGGACGAGAGCAATAGAGAGCAGAGAGTAGCGAGCGAGCGAGCGAGCGAGCGAGCAAGGCGGAATGCAGCGAACGCGCGATCAAGAAGATTCCATAAATATCTGGGGCTCCGAGCAGCGAACGACAGACGGAAGACGAGAGAGAGTGATAGGTGAAGAGAGAAACGACAGCGAGAGGGACGAGGATGGGTTGACCAATGGAGAGAAGCATGGTAGCCCGCGGTGCTACGCTTCGTGCATTTAACATTTTCGAGCCAATCGCGTATTAGCATAATTACGTTTTGCAGGGGCCCGGTGCGTGGAAGGAAGGGCCAGTCTCTCATATTCTCTCTCTTTCTCTCTCGTCTCTGTCTTCTTTCTTGTTCCTGGTGAACATCGTCTTGCTTCCTCCATCGCTAGTCAGTCGATCTTTCCACCAGTCGCAGCCTCGTTCTTCGTTCAGCTACCGTGTTTTCCTCTCCTCGTCTTTGTCGTTCGTTATTCTCCCTTGGACCTCTCTGCGCGCACTCGCGGTACACACCACCGTGTAAACATACATACGCGCGATCGCCGGTTAGAGAGCGGTAAATTTCTTATGGGGTATTATGGCGTACCGTGCATACCAACCGGGATACATGCCGGACACAACCCTCTCCACCGTTTTCTCCACCTTGGGAACTGGTTCTAAGTTAGTATTTTTATAGCTAGTCCTCGAGGGACAACCGCGTGGCTTCCTTCGTTTCGTTGTCGTTGCGTGTTTTCGCGGACGTCTCTCGCTGTCGATGGTCATCGCGCGGGACATTCGGGTTTTCGGACTCTCGATCGTGACGAATCCAAAATCAGTAATTTACAAATTGAGAGAATCGCCCGGTGAAACGTTCGAGATACGTGTCGGAAAGATTCCAGAGGAATTTATAATATTCAGACCGTTTCAGTGCAAATAAAAGCCAATGCCACGAGTTGGATAGCAATCGTTTCGAACGTGGACCAACGTGTTATCTATCGGTGTTCGATGGAATCTGTGCTGTACATGGTTCGCAGACACACACCCGGTATATAGGTATCCTCTGCGTGCCGTAAGGGGTGGTCAGGTTGTGAATCGGGGCACGGTAGAGGAACCGAGACAGACACCCCGAAACCTTCATTACCTTCGGCTTCAAAGGAGCCCATTGTGCCGTAAATGGGGTTCGCTCTGCGCTCCTCTTTCCTTCCTTTCCTCCCCCCCTCCCTTCTCCTCTCCTCTTCTGTCTTCCTTTCTTTCTTTCTTTCTTTCTTTCCCTTCTTTCCTCCACGCTGTGTTCGTACGCGTACCCCGGATCCGTTCCATTCTTCGAGCCGTTTGCCTTTCCGAGAGGCCGTCAACACAGAAAAGGGATGAGAAAGGAGAGAGGTGGTCTTCACAAAGTGGGAGAGACACTTGCTCGTTCGTTCCTTCGTTTACGTAAATTCCCGAGTAATTTCGGGGGCCGAATGAAAAGAGGTACGAAGGGGGTGTGGTAGAGGGTTACGCGAGAGAGGTTCTTGGGCAGGGGGGGGGGGGCGGAGGGGGCAGCGTCGCGATGGTATAATGTCGCCTCGTGCGGAACCTCCCCTCGCGCGATCCGACAGCAGGAGAAAGGAGGCAGAGAAAGGAAGAGGGGACAACGGGCCGTTTAAGAAGTCTTTGAATCGAGAACTCGTTTCGAGCGGAGGGCCCCGCGGCTCTCTCTCTCTCTCTCCCTCCATCTCTGTTTCTCGTCGACACGCTTCTTCTCTTCGTCCTTGTCTCTCTGTCCCTCGCTCTTCCCTGGTCGCGTCGACTGGTCACCGCGAACTGGTTGAACTCTCTCTCAAACCCGGGAAGCCCGCAGCGATTTACCTGAGCGTGAACGCAGGGAAATTCTCTTCTTTTCCCTCTCGCTTTCTCAATATTTGAAACGGTTCTTCTCTCACGCTGGAGAAACTAACGAATATCAAGAATCTTCATCGATTCTTTGAAGTGTTGCTTCTGCGGTCACAAGCGATTAGAACAACCAAGAGAATCCGTATAATAAGGGGTTCTTTTGAAAACACCGTACGGGCTCGTAGAATAACCATCTTCTTCATTCGTTCGCTTGGATATACTTTTGCTTGATATACTTTTTATTAACACTTGGATAAAAGAGGAGGTCAAAGAGCGTGTACAGAGGGATGAATCACGACGGACAGTTTGACCGATTGTTGAACACCCCTAGCCGCGCGGAGCTTGTTAAATCGGCTATGAAATGGGAATAATCTCGAGTTACAGGCAAAGTTGTCGCCGTTAGCAGGTATCGTGCTCGGTGATCGCGAGCCAGTCCCGATTCGTCTTCTTCTGTGGCGCTTACACGCCGAGAGAGGAGAGTCACCTTCCGGCAATGGCGTTGCCTACGGTGGTGTCGCATGTACCTTACGGAGGAACACGAGAAGCGTTCGCGGGGACGCGATGAAAGCGATATCCCTTGCTGTTCGCGAGTACACACACGCCCTCACACACACACACACACACACACATACTCTCTCTCTCTTTCAATTCGTGGCTTTTATTTCGGTTGGAGAAAATTTACGTCCGCGGAAATTAAATATCCGCCGTGCTTCGCCCGGACAATTCCAAGGATCGAACGAAGAGAGGACGAGCTTTCACCTGGTTCGAGATGGAAGCAGAAGGTCGACGAGAGGAGCGAAGGAAACGGCGATCCTTTGAGACACTCGATATTTTCCGTGCCCTTACTCAACCACCGCGAACCGTTCGTCGTATCAGAAAATCCGAGAAGCTCTGGTACCCGCTTGGATGAATTAGATACCAGAGAAGTGCTGCGCCACCTAGCGTATCCTTGGCTCTAGGACAGAGGGATACTGTGTCAACCGTGTGGCCGTGCGAACGGTGAAAGGATATGATATTGTAGGTGGAATAGTAAAAGAATACCTACTAAGACGTTTGTTCAAATCGAACTTTTTTCTTTCAATTATTCAAATAGCTTTCGAACACTCTAGCTCCATTCACGAGTTCACTCGTCTTCTATTTCTATGTACATACGTACATCTCCGTCTTTCAGGCATCAGAACGCTTTTTCGTTTCGTGTGAAACAGTGTACTGGATGTGTAAACGAGTGTGCGCGAACAATGATCGATCAACGAACAAGTTAAGGGTCTGCAGCAATTCACCCAATTTCTCGCGGATTAAGGTATATTTCCTGGTTAGGCGCGACATTCGAAAAAACATGGCAAAAAACCGTGGCCAGAAAGTGAACACGCGGTTTCTAGTAGAATTGGAGAGCGGTCGTTGGATCCTGTGTCAGCCTCGGCTGGCTCGATCGTCTGCGGTGTAGGGTGACGCGATTCAAAGGGCCGATAGATGGCAAAAACTCGCGTCCGCGATGCATCGTATCATGTTCTAGACCATGAGCCGAACGCTGGAGAGATTTTTGGTGAACGCCCGGGGCTCGGTATCAGCTCGGGGCGTCCGCTCACGCGAACCGATACCAAAGTGAACTATCATCCTATCCGCGCGGTGTAGTGTGGTCTCCCTTCGGCCGGAAGTCAGAGTGGTTAAAAGCGATCGCAGCGGCGCGGCAGATTCGAGTTTCACGCGATGCCGAGTTCGAAAAACGATTTCTGCTTTGGCTCAGTGCGGTCCGGACGTGCTCCGAGTTCGTGTACCAGCGGTAAAAAATGGCTCGATAACCGTGTTCCCGTGCGCGCCACGTACACGGAGGAAGGAGCACCGTGTAGGTGAACGCTTCTCGGCGTTCGAACCAGGAGGGCTTCTCCTTTCGGCGATCCGTCCTGGTGAAGAGAGGGAGAGAGAGAGAGAGAGAGAGAGAGAGAGAGAGAGAGAGAGAGAGAGAGAGAGAGAGAGCAGGAGAGAGAAGGAAAGACGGAACCCCGTTTCTTTTCTTCGGTGAGCATTGTCGGCCGGTTCGACTCGACTCCCGGCGGATCAAATTCTAACCAGTCCGGCATTATAGCCGCTGTCCTTCGAGTTCTCTCTCCACCGCCCCCTCTCGCCGCTCTTTTGGTCCCGCGTTAAAGAGAGTCTAGTCATCTCGAGGAGGCATTGTGTTACCGTTGGTACTTCGGAGAAAATTCTGGCGCGCCACCCTGAGAACCATCGACTTGACCCAATCTTGTAGGTATGCGCGTACAGTCAGCGTGCAGTCTTTGTCGATCGTTGGCCGACTTCTCTCCCATCGTGGGATTCGATTTTCCCATCGAGGAACGAATACTATGCGAGCAATACAGGAGGAAGGGAAAGAAGCAGAAAATAAGGAAAAAAGGGGAGTCTCATGTAGTACAGAGAATGTGAGAGTGTACACGGTACGGCACGATGTTGGAAAAGATGAGCGAGATCGGCGGTGGATCGGTTTCGCGTCCGATCAAGCGTCCTCTCGCATACGTTTAACGCATGATAAACGCGTGTATTGTCTACGGTGGTCGGTGTCGGCCACAACCTTCCACCATTGGACGGTGCCGCCTACGGCAAAGATGGCCGTCTTCTCTATTACATATAAATGCCTAATAAGAAGAACGTCGTATAAGCATCTAGGTGGATAGGTTGCCGAGAGGCAGTCAGCCAGCTTGCTGTAGAAGCCCGATGAGAGAAGGCATGAGGAGAGAGAGAGAGAGAGAGAGAGAGAGAGAGAGAGAAAGAGGGGTCAGAAAGAAAGCGCGTGTACGCGCTTGCAACGAGAGAAGACACGCCGCGCCGCCTCGTAATGCGCCTGGCTTCTATCTCTCTCTGTTCCTCCTCGCCGTTGATTTACATATAACAAGATAAGCGTTTTTATTTGCTTTTGCTTATATAATACATTTTTCTAAACTGAATCGAGCGACCAGGCCGACGAGAGAAGTCCTGGTCGGGGCAGCTGAGGGGCGAGGAGAGCAGGGAAAGAGGGAACGAGAGGAGGAGGAGGATGAACCGTGAGGAGGACGCTGGAGGACCGGGTATCCTATAGGCCTGTCAGACCTCATTTGCATACATAACATTCTGGTCGACTGGACACCGGTCAGACCTCCTCGCTCCCTCTCGCTTTGACTCGTTATCGACGATGCAACGGGTCTCCTCGTTGCTCGCTGCTGGACCGCTTCCACGGCCTCGACGATGCAACGAGCCGTCCTCGCCGTCCTCCTCCATCTTTCTATATCGATACCAGCCAGTTCGTATCGGCCGTCTCGCCATCCCGCGCCGCGACTTCGAGGTGAAAATACCGAACGAACCTCGTTTCACCCGAGGCCTATGGGATCGTGGATCCATCGAGTTCCGATCCCACCGAGCGAAATCACGGCCAATTTAACCAACGTTTATAGCACAGTTGCTCGAATATTGAAATTAGGGAGAGATTAACCAAAGAGACGAGAAAGTGAAAGTTTCTTTTCGTTTCGAACCTCCATGTGTGTGTGTGTGCGTGTCGTGTGCGTGTGCGTGTGCGTGTGCGTGTGCGTGTTGTATATATTACACAACGCTCATGCGTTCGTCAAGGATGACTACTGATCAAATTAATGAAATTCCTTTTTCTTTTTCAGGTCCACGAACTGTGCGACAACTTCTGCCACCGGTACATCAGCTGCTTGAAAGGGAAAATGCCGATCGACCTAGTGATCGACGACAGGGAGAGCTCGAAACCGCCGGAAATAGGGAACGGTCTGGACGGTGGCGGACCGAGGAGCACCGCGGACAGCACCAGCCACACGGACGGAGCCAGCACACCGGACGTCGTGAGTACCTCACCATCGTCAACGTCTTACTATCCGCACGACGCGATCACCCCTCACCATCACCACCACCACCACCACCATCACCACCATCACCATCAGAGCCAGAATAATAATAACAATAATAATAATAATCACGCCGGTATCGGCAGTACCGCCACTACCACCCCCCTGCAACTGAGCCAAAACCAAAGCCAAAACCACCACCCTGCGCCGCAGTCGAACACCACCACTACTACTGCTATTACCCCAAGTAGCGCCGCCACAACTCCCAACTCCCTAAAGCGTACGCACCAACAGATGATGATGGCAGCCGCGGCGGCATCCGCGATGGCCACCTCGCCGCACGCAGCCGCATCCGCGCCCCCAGCGCACGCGCACGCCGCCCTCGCCGCCTACCACAGCATCAGCTCGGCCGTTTATCCGTGCTCGTAATAGACGACGCGACTTCCGTGCCGATACCGCGAGACCTTTTTCTTTTCTTATCCCCTTATGTATGCTTCTTTTCTTTTCTTTTCTTTTCTTACCCTCTCGACTCTCAACTCTTCTTCCATCTCTGTCACCGTTACTCGCTCACGCGTTACTTACTCTCATTACCATCTCTACTTTTTCTTCTCCTTCTTCTTCTTCTTCTTCTTCTTATTTTTCTTTCTACGATCCTTATCCATAGTTCATACGCTGTCTGGCGTTTCTTCGTCGTTTAAACCATGGTCTTTCTTCGAGATCCCCTTTCCTCTTGATCCGCTGTGAAAGTCGACGGGAACCGAATGTTCTCTGGAAATTCCTTTGCCTCGTGATCAGCCCTCTGTGGCCTTTCGAGGCGAGGGATTTTGCGAAATTTGCGGCCGGTGAGCCGTGCGTCGCGATGGTTCGATCGCGACTGACCGCGGCGGCAACCACCGCGAACGCGCACAGCGTGCCCTCTTCGTTCGTCCTCGTGGCACGAGGTCACGTGCAGACACACGTCCGCGAGGCAAGATGTACACTACCTGAAACAAACTCTGTTCGTACCACGTTCTTTCTTCGTCTTCCTCTACTCTTCTCTTCTCGTTCTTCTTTTCTCGAATCTCAACTGTCTCTCGAACCGAGAGGGGAAAATCTCGCGTCTCGGGGGTTGCAACGGTGTCCACGAACATCCGGTCGTGAGATCACGGTGACGAAATGCGATTGGCCGCGAATTGTTGGACTGGCGCTACTTGTCGGCATTTTCCAGTACATTTCGTAGCATAGTGTCTCGTACTGCTCCGAGCGAAGGACCAGTGTTATTCTGTTTGGCACTTGGCTGGCTTTTGAGTTCATTCACGATCCGTTTCTCTCTGTCTTGTTTCTTTCTTTCTTTTTTTCTTTTTTTTTTTTTTTTACTTTCACTCTCTCACTATTTCTTTTTTTCTGTATATCTCTCTGTCTGTCTTTCTCTCTCTTAAATGTTGCTCAAGCCGTGGAGGAAGAGTCGCTCGACTCACGTCAATCGTACGTAACACGATTTAACACACGATCTCAGACATTCTTCCTTCGAGGGCTCGCTCCGCGTCGGTTCAGCCGGCGAATCTCCGCAAGATTTCACGCTCTGTCTGAGGCTTCGCGTCTCGCAGCACGCGAATTTCTTCGTACAGAGAGAAATTCTCCTATACGGAAATACCATATCGGTGTTGGCCAAACTTCGAAACAAGTTCGCTCTCTCTTTCTCTCTCTCTCTACGGTCGGTTATGTAAGATCGCGGCGTGCTAGCGAGAAAGAACGCTTCTAAATTCGTCCCGAGCCAGAGAACACCAGCCCGTCCGATGACATCGATTTTCGGCTGGTGTTCCGCTTTCAAAACACGTCCGGAGGTATCGTCGCCCCTCCGAGACCGCCTTTTCGAGGTCCAACCAGTCACGATGAGCTATTATAGCCGAACGGCGCACCTTATGCAACCGATTCTGCGTCTCGTCTTCGTTGTTCTGGGTCGCTTGCGCTTCGTCTTCTTTCTCTTCTTCCTCGTCTCTGGTCTCGATCGCGAGCGATCGTTACGCTGGCACGTGGTTCGCGAGCCACGTGCTCCGAAGAGCCAAGACTAGCTCTTTCTTTCTTTCACTCGCTCTGTACTTTCTTTACCTCCCCACCTTTTCACCTTCTGTTCTCCAGAAAGCGTGCAAGGTCTCGCGCGGCGCGGCACAGCGCGCAGAACTTCAGTAGGCAAACACGGGCATTATAGCGAAGGAAACGGCCGCGTTAGGGCGCCGCTGGAGAAGGTCGTTAGGTGAGAAACACACGTTCGAAAGGGCACGCGACGAACAGTTCTGTAAAGGCAGGCCGTTTAGGTAGGTCGTTTGCTCGAATCTCGCGTGATTCGTCACTGCTCGAAACATTTCTTTTAGTCACATCGTGTCGATGTTCACGATCTCTACATCACCCTTTAATTTTCGGACATGTAAACGTCTACGGTCGTAGGTTTGCAATTTTTTTTTTTTTTTTTTTTACGTCGACGACGTAACAGACATTATTTTATCATTGTTTTATTTTATACTGCAAAACGATCGACAATTTTTTTTTTACTTCTCACAATGTGACGAATGACAGACGTCTGTCTTAACCTTCCATTATCCTAGTTTTCTGTTTTCTTTCTCTTGTTTGTCTCCCAAATTCCGAGTTTTCGGCCCCGCGGATCGCCCGATCGGCAATACCGCGAGCGTTTGGGTACGACCGGCGTTGGGGAAATCGCACGGGGGGGGGGGAAGGTATCGCGCGTATCGCGAGTCACCGTGCGTGCCATCGGAAAGAAAAGAAAAGAGAAGAAGAGAAGGGCGAGGAATGCTGAGTGTCATTGCTGAATCGAACTATTAATTAATCGTGATCGGGATATACGTAATAGGATGTAAGGCTTTCAACGCGTGACAAGATGACACTTTCTGTCTATTTTTAAACGGGATAATTCTAGTTCGAGTTTACTTCTAATTTAAGGAACGCGCGCGTGCAAACGACGTGTAACGACGACGAGAGCGTGAGTGAAGCGCGAATGCGAGAGAAAGAGGCGAGAGTGGACGATGGGACTGACTCGTGATGTGAATTACTTAACGGTGGTAGTCGTATTATAGTTTCTAACTTATTAGTAGCTTCCGATTAGTGTGGTTACCGGGCGGAATAATTGGTAAAGAGGAAAAAGAAAAAAAAAAAAGGACACGAAGGGATAGTGTTGTTGATTGTACGGCGATAGAGCGGTCTTGACGATGTCGCCCTGCTCAAAGTACACTTGAGATAGATCTTTGCGAGAGGCTCGTTCGCCGGGAAGAATATTCCTGTGACATTAAAGGGAAGTGTACGCGGATTCGACGTCAGAGATCTATCGAGAGTATCTTGAGCAGGGTAGCTGTGGCGACGATCGAAGAAACGAAAAAACGGGACTCGATCTCGGAATCGCGCGACGAACGAGAACAAAAACGAAGACACCCAGGCGGGGTGAGAACCGCGTGTGAAAACAGCGAGGAGAGCCGAGAGCCGAGCGAGATGCCCAGAAGTCGTACGCGATCGAACGATCATCACCAGAAATACTAGGTCTCGGTACTCGTAACTAGGGAGTTGTGTGAGGTACAAGTCCTGGCCGGCAGGGCGCGTGAGGTCCACCCCCAATCCCCGTACTTAATAACCCTTGAATTGCGAATGACCCGTGAATGACCAAAAAAAAAAAAAAAGAAAGAAAAAAAGAAAGAAAAAATGAAACAAACGAAAAGTAACAATTAACAGAGGAAACAGTGAAAAGAGAAAAAAAAAAACAAAATAAGGCGAGGAAATTTCCTGCATACACGCCGATAGGAAGAAGTATCGAAAGAGGCAAGAGGAAGGAAGGAGCCGAACGAGCCCCCCAGCTGGTGCCCCGCAGTAAAACTCGATTCTCGAGAGCTCCTTGACCCTGGAATTAGCATTTCCTACACGCGAACCGACACACATGCAGCTCACTCACATTCAATCGCCTTTATGAACACACGCACCTATAAACAAATACACAGGACACGGTCGTTATGAATCACAGGAGTACACGGGATACTTTTGTGCGAGCGGAGACACACGCGAGCGTTTCAACGAAATAGCCAGCGGACGCTGCTGCTGGGTACACGGGTCCACCGATATACGCAACGATACACATTCGCCATCGGGGAGAAATAAATACACAATTACCATACAGATACACAGAGCGTATACGGGGAACAAACGGTTGGACGACAGGTCCAACACGGAAACAGGGCACGGAAGAGTGCAGGGCACCAGATCAGGGAGGAGTCGTGCTCCGGCGTTCCTCTTTCACGTAGTCAGATTAGAATCAGAAAGAAATAGAGACAGAGCACGAAAACCAGGAGAAGAACTATTGAAACCAAAAAAAAAAAAAAAAGAAAGATTAAAGTAATGAGTATACGTGATACGAAGATTTAGAGGACAGAAAAAAATGCAAGGGTGTGTACGGAGGTTGGAAGGTGGGCTTCGGCACCAGTCGGTCGGAACCCTAGTTACGAGTGCCGAACCTAGGGTCGAGAGACCTTGAACACGGGTCTCTCGGCTTTTCTCCCTCCCCCCAATGCCCCCCCCCCCAAGAAAAAAGAAAAAAATAAATAGGAACGACACACGATGGAGTGTCGAACGAAGCACGGACAGTGCGACGGAAGTCGCCATGTTTGAAGAGAGGGCAGAGTAAAATAAGAAAAAGAAAATAGAGAACCGCGATGTTCTTTTCTTTTGTACGTATTCTGCATTACGTACTTACAACGACGCTCAATTTTTACACTCTTCGCTCCTTCGAAAGAAATGGAAAAAGAAATCGACGTTTTCATGTTACAAATTTCGTTTGTACATTCGTTTCTTCCGCCGCGTGAATTTGTACGTTTTTACGTGTAGTTTTGTGATTGTTTGTGATTGTTTAACTCTTGTTTGTTGCGTCTTCCAGTTGAAAGAATCGTTGAAAGTTTGTACTTCTCTCTCTTTTTTTTTTTTTTTTTTTTTTTTTTTTTTTGTAAATTCTTTACGCGTTGTTCTTCTCGACACGACGATGCTTCGTCGGAGAACTCTCAGTGTACTTATTGTCGTTATTTTTAAAAGTTCGGAGAGAGAAATATAGAAGAAAAAAGAACATTTCTCGCTCGATCGTCCGCGCGAGGATTCGCTTCAATTACGCTTATCGAACGATCGACCGGACGCACGTCACACGCGGAGCGTCTTCTCGAGCGCGTTCACGAGATGAACCACGTGTTAGAAGATGATGAAACTGACGTGAATACATAGTGCCATAGGTGCGGAGCAGGCGCTCACGCGTGCGCTCAGACTGTGTACTTAGTTATCGTTAATCAAAAATCTTATCAAACGAATCGACGCTTCGATGCGAATGAAACGTGTATCGTCGATCGGCCACGGTCGCTCGAAAATTGACTCGCTGTTACACGAACGAGACAAATCAGTACGAACCTGATTATTTTTTTTCACCGACGATCGCGGGTTACGTTCCTTGCATTTACTCCACAATTCGATGGAAAAGTTCGTTCGACGAATTATCACGTTTCTTCATTTTTTTTTTTTTTTTTTAAATTAATGTAGCTACTTAAATTAATGTAGCTAGTTCTACTTACAACGAAAGACTGACAACACACGCATACACGCGGACAATGACTGCAAGGAGAATTTCGAATTGAAATTTAATGCGTTTAGGGTTGAACGAGCTGTTCCAGCGACCGTGGATATTTTCAATTTCGCGAATGCGCGTGCGGATCTCTGTTGCGACCGTGGTCGTCGAGTCGTTTCACGGAGATGCACGCCCGATGTAGCTTGCATCTCACGTGCCCTGTACATTTATTATTTTCGGGCGGACGCGGCTGGCCTCGACGAAGCTCGAGCTAGCGGCCGCGAGAGCGAAAGGAGGCGATTCGATCGTCACTCGATCGATTCCCTCCTTCTTGCCCGGGTGAGAAACATCTCGATTGTTTGTCGAGGGTGTCGCGTTTTATACATCTCTTCTTTCATTTTCCTTTTTTTTTTTTCTTCTCCTCCTTTCGTCGACTACATTCTACCAGCGTTCTCTGCGTACTTTGTTCCTTCTGTCTTTCTTTATTTCTCTGTCGTTTCGCGCGTTTCGTCGAGACGAGACTCTTACACTTTTACCGCGCGACGATATGCGTGTTTACGCGCGCGAGTAGTCGAATGAAATACGAATCACGTACGTTCGGACACTTACCGGGAGATTACACGACACGCACGCGCATATACAGATATCGACGAATGTACGAAGTGACAGGCAGCACACGAACATACTCGGAGAACACACGTGTATTCAGCGACGAAGAGATGAGACACACACGCACACACCGTTTCAATTAACCGACGATGCATAATTGTAGACGCGCGTCAAAAGAGACCTCTCTGTCTCTCCATCTTTCTCTCTTTCTTCCTCTCTCTCTCTCTTTCTCTCTGTTGTACACATCGACGGACATTGTGCATGTATGTGTGTTTACGATTACAACTTTTACCTAAACGTAGACTTAAGAACAAAACAAAAAAAAAAAAAGAAAGGTTGGATGAAATTTTTTTTTTTTCGTACGGTGAAAGAAAAGACGGAGGAAAAAGAAGGAGTGACGAGAATTTAACGAAAAAAAAAAAAAGAAAAGCAAACGGCAAACTCACCCGAACAATTGTATACGACTAGCATTATACATAGCGATAATATATTACCGATAATGATAAACTTGTTTAAACTATTGTCTCAATCAACGTATTTTCATTATAAATAAATGTTAGCCTTGTTGAGTTAAAAAAAAAAAAAATATGAATGAATTAAGAGAGATGAAGTATAACTGTATTCACTGCCTGGTAATTTCCATCAAGAAAAAACCACCGATACCGACGAGATCTCCGCTCGAGATAAGGAGAAAAAAGAAGCAAAAAAAGAAAAAAAATGCCTCCCGCTCCTATCCTCGTGCATGCAGAACACCTTCGTGTCCTTTTTAATTAAAGCGTCAACGCACGACTTGTGTGCGTCGTCATCGTGTCTGCAGATAATGCGCTCCGATCGCCGCTGTTCGTCGTCATCGTCGTCGTCGTCGTCGTCGTCGTCGTCGTCGTCGTCGTCCTCGTCATCATGGTCGTCGTCGTTGATCGTATAATTGCGATCGGTTTAATTAAATTCCCTCGACTCATCGTCGAATTCTCGCAAGCGCAAAGAAAGGACGGACCACTCCGTCCTGTCTCGACGTGTGACAATCGCGGGACACGAACGTGTAACGAATCGCCGAGGCTTCTAGAACAGGATTTCTAGAACGATTCAAACTTGCGGAAATCGATTGAGAGACGAGTCAAGGGAAACGCGATAGATTTCGGTGGATTTTCGCCTCGATTTTCGGCCAAGGAGCGAGAAGATCGATCTCGACGGAGCAACGGAAGGGACATCGATCGTCAAGGGGTCCTCGCGAGGAAGAGGCTGCGGAGAGAGGAACGACGTTGGACGATATTCCCCGGAGGAACGACGCATACCGGACGCGACGAGGGAATATTAGCAGAAACTTGGTCGTAAATCTCGGTTAACCCTCCGCTAATAAATATTTAACCCTTTAAATTTGCAACAACCCTCGGCGCGTGTAGCGATTTGCATAAGACTTCTATTTCATTTACACATCGCATAATTGAATATTTAAATTCAATTGCCGGCCGTTACGCGCTCGCTGTTCCGAGCCGCAAAACTGCAGTAAAACTTGTAACGGGGCCACTTTCCATCCCACCCCCCCCCCCCCCCGAAAAACCACCCACCCCCTTGGCTGTCCGCCTCCGTAGCTTCGAGCCTGTTACCCTTCGCTCTACGCCGCGATCAACCCTTGAAAACTGCTTCGAGAATATCGAGCCGCCCCCGGGGGAGAGCCACGAGGGGACGGACAGATTCTTACCTACGTGAACGTAACGCGAAAGAGCTCCCTTTTACCTTTACACCCCCACCTTACACCCATCCTTTGAGTGTCTCTCGTTTGTTTAAAGTAGCGACAAATTGCGACGAGGAAATAACGTTTGGAATAATTTTCAGAACGATCGTCGCACGGTTTAGCGCGTTAACGTTTGTAACGTTTCACGATGTCAGTGGTGGGTACGCTGACAGATGAAATTGAATCGAAGCGAACGATATTTCAACTCGTACGTTCATAAATCGTATTCAGCAATTACAATCTTTTCTGTCCATTACGTGACAAATTGCGTAACCGATGCAGACGTTTTGACGTTCAGCAAGTCGAATGATTTACCGTACGATATAAATCAGGACAGGAACAAAGAGGTTAACAAACCCCTTTTTTTAATATTAGATCACGGACTGGGGTTCAAGACACGTTTGATCTTTCCGGAAGGGATGCAGAATGGCAATCACATGGGTGATACACTCGCGGCGTCGCGAATCTTCGCGTTCGACTGGCCAAATTAAAACCAAACTCTCCTCCGGCCTTCTCGTCTCTCTCATTTTTTTCTCTCCTCGGTGCTCGCAGCGCCGTCAAATATTTTTAGAAGCGTTTCATCGGGTGACGAACGCGCGTATATACGCGCCACGTGTCGAGGCCCGTTCGTGTTCCGTGGTGAATGTCCTCGCTCCTTCTCCTCCTTTTCTTCTTCTTCTTCTTTTTCTTCTTCTTCGTCTTCTTCTTCTTCTTCTTCTTCTCCTTCGTCTTCTTCATCGTCAGAGTTCTCGCAACAACGATCTCCTCTACATTCTCAAAGCGGCATCTGGTGTCGCGGCACGTATACGGCCGTTAGCACTTTCACGAAAGGGATTACCATTGTCACGTTATTCATGCTAACGATGATCGGCTGAGATCGGTCGCGACGATAATCGCCGTGTCACTAAAATCGAGGAGGCGGTCATTGTGAGCGACATACTGACAGCATAATAAATTATCCTTTCCTTCTCCCGCCTCGCGTCTGCCCTCGCTCGTTCTTGCTCGCTCCACGATATCTTTGCGTTCTTCAGACTTTTCCCCGGTTGTCGTGCGCACGGATCGTCTTCCTCTTCTTCTTCTTCTTCGTCTTCTTCGTCTTCTTCTTCTTCTTGTTACCCTTGTGGCAGACGATACGCGTACGGTACCGTGTAGCGTCGTAACGCGATACAAGACGGTCCGGCACACCCGTCCCGCGACAATAATCGCGAGGACAGCCAGCGATTATATCGCGAGAACAGTGCCATTCTTTGGTCGCTGTTTATCGGACCCGTTTGACCGGTCGCCATCGTTCCAATTGCGAACGCGGAGAAATTAGCGCTGCAACGAGCCTCTCGCGAGAGTTTGCGTTTAATTTTCTCGTGTACCGTCGCCTGAACGTATCTCGCAGATGCAATAATCGAGCCTCCTTCACTTTAACGCTTCTTTCTTTCGAGATAATTGTGCGATTCTTATTAATATCTTCGGGAACAATTAATATATTTCGATGGATATTGCTTGAATAATTTAAACTTTAGATAGAATTCGAGTTTTATCGCGCTGGACAAAACGCACAATTTTAAACTAATAATAATACGATTGAAAAAGAAAAAAAAGAAGAAGTATCGAATAATTACTTCAAAGTTCTTGTTTGGCTTTCATAGTAAAGACAAGGTACAAGAGCAAACTATAACTACGTGGCATGTTTCGAACATTGCGGGGAGAAATTGGGACAATTTTGTGTTTGCCAATGTGGGCCTGTTAATAATATTCTCACAGCGACGGCAGTGGAATGAAGGATGAATTTAAAATGTATAATACATATCGCCGTTTGCATATTAATTGAGTCACCTGGCTATCAAAGCCATCGTGGCCATTTTTCATTCGTGAAACGCAACAATACACGTATAGAGATCAGTTGGCACCTACCACTTAAGCAATTTTTCACAACGATGCATGCGCCGGGAGCGACGATTATTCAAAATATCCCCGATGCAGCCAACCAGAGTGGTGCATGCCGCACAGTTTTCGTTCTAGACTCTCGTCCCTCTCGTTGCTTAAACTTAAGATTGATTTTTAAATTACTCTTTAATAGAGTGCTTCAAATGAGGGGTTGCGAAAGTTCCATTTAATCAAGAAGAATGACACTAGATTACCACTCTACGCCGATTTCTCGCTATCTCTCGGCTTTAATCACTCTGTCGCGGATAATTAACTTCGGTTGTAGTGTTTCTCGTGACACCTGTGAACGGACCGGGTATTTACTTTTACAAGTATCGTTCACCAGCCTCGGGTGAAAGTAATTCAAACCAAAGTTTGAGAATTCGGATCAGGCACTTTCGAACACCGAAATTTCTAAATTTCTAGATTCTCGAGCCTCCTCAGCTGCCAGAGTTCCCAGACTTTCAAATTTCCATACCATACTTTCCAGGTTTCCGTATTTTCAAGTTTGCCACGTTTCGCGGAAACTTGGTGGCAAAGGTTTCATTAACAAAAATTTGCCACCAAGGGCGGCCAACTACCGCCGGGCTCGCAAGGTAATATTCATAAATCGTGGCGGAAAGCGAGGCTGCTGCTGATGGCCACGCCGTCGTTTTTTCCTGCTGCGGCCCGACCGCGCCAGCCGCAAAGGAAAATCCGCTTGGACCGCCGCAAAACCGCGCGATGCAAACGGCCGGAGAGAACCGCGTTCCCACACCTACGCGACTACACGCGACTCTTCTGAAGATTGTGTAGCTCTTCTCAGGTTCGCGATAAGTATAACGAGCAAACGTAACACACATACACACACAAACACGATTTCAACGTCATCGTCTGCGTGGTTCTACGTCAACGACATACAAGTACGCACCGCACGACGTCGGTAAAGACATCGCGTGATGTCACTCGTAAATTTTCTCATCTCGCGGAAAATTCCCTAACGAGACATTAAGCAATTGCTGCGGCTCTGCACGTGGCTCTTACCTAAGACAGATAAATCCGTGGCAATTTGCTCGTAACGCTGTTTCGTTTCAACTTCGTTTTGTCCGAGCCGTGACGCGAAGTTGTCTCAGACGACGATTCCGTTCCAAGTTTATCGACAACTCCTTCGAGTGAATAAATATAATTTTATTCGCTTGGATTGTCTCGTTGCGTTCACTGAAACTTTACTGTCAAGGTTATGATTGTTGTTTCCCAGAAAAATGAAGGAGGTGATGTTTCGCTGAGGAGCTTTGTTTCAGCTGGTTTTTCGATAATCTTCGTGTCTATTAAGAAACGCGATTAGATTTGTACGGAGATTGTAACAGCAGCTACCTGGATTACGTGAATATTACATAATGGTGTTTCTAATTGATCCTATAGAACGAGTCGATCGATAATTGTTGAGTAAGGAGACAGGTTGTAGATAGTGATGTAATGTATTCCGTAGAATATCGAATCTGTCTTTCAGTGAACGTCTCTATAATTAACGAATAAATCTGTCGCAATATATGCGCTGTCGCCGCCGTAGGTATTTGGACGTTTGAAATGGTTTCTGAATTTGTATTAAAATGATAGATTCTCAACCGTTGAAACCGTTCTATTGATTCTAAAGCGATGGAACAACGCTAGAATTATCGACGACTGAAGCACAAAATTTCCATT